CACCGCTACACTCCGACCGAACCGCGCCGTCCTCGCTGCTTACCGCGTATAATCTTGATCGCCATTGCTACATGTGTACTTTTCGTACATACATTGTTTTAACAATAGTAAATACCCTCCGTATGTTTATTATGAATACATCAATATATTATACACACACTACAATAATTTTATTTATTTGTTACACGTCAAATAATGAAAGTTTTGCGTATAAAACAACGAACAATATACTATTTTAATACTAAATATGTATGTAGTTTATTTTTGTAAGTTACCTTCGAGATCGTTTTCAATATTAGAGGTAAAAATATTGGGTGCAAAACAGCACGATCAGTCATCAGCAAAATGTAATACGTACTCATAATTAGTTGCATAGATTTAAAAAATAATGATTAACTCTTGGTAATTACCATTTATTTTTCAATATGTTTGCAAACATATCAACTGAGATTGGCAACGTGATTCCGTCCACACGCGATTGCCAATATTTTAACAAAAATGGGTGTGTGCATGTGTGTGTAATATTATTGGAGGGGTCGAGAATACCTATATACACTCGTATAGTGTATATCCATTGTCCCAGTCTCGAAGGATGTAAAAAACGCATTTTCTACAGAGACCACACATTGATTATAATTAAAGGGCTACGGGAAAAATGATAATAATCAAAAAAATAAATACATCATTTTGTAATTTGTTATAAACTAATTATAATACAAAATATAAATAAAATTTGTTGCCGATCCTGGACGGAAACGCTACAGTAAAAAATACTAAAAACACAAAAAATATAAAACTTACAATTTCTTTTAAAGATCTAATTAAAACAAAAATATTTACACATATAAAAAAACAAGTATTTACGTGAAGATTCATGTCTCACGTTAAAAACTGTCGAGCTCGTGGATGGCAAAATAGCTCGCACAATTTTCGAGTGACCGCGTTGGTTCCGCCAGCGCACGTACATCGGTACGGTAACTATGGCAACCATGATGACCAGCCACAGGCCGATGGACCAGCGAAATGTGTTCCGGCGGTCCCATTCATCCATGCAGCGCTCGAAAAGGGCCGTCGTCTTATGCAGGGCCGTGGGCGCGGTGCATTTGTTGGCAACACTGGTGCCGTTAGCGACCGGACACGGCGGCATACCAAACACTTGGATATTATGGTTTCGCGTCCATTTAACGGCACTCAGGCATCGGCAACGGGACTCGGGTCTCTGGAACAGCGTGGTGCAGCCTGTCACATTGAGCCAGGACAACCGGCACGTGGCCGCCAAAGTGACCGGGTCCAGGTCGTTCAGCAAATCGTTGCCGGACACGTCCAGCTCGACCAGACTGGGCATCACGTCCAGCGCTGGATACTTGACCAGGCCGCAGCGACTTAGTTTCAAAACCTGCAGCCCGACAGCGCGCGATAGCTGGTCCATGCGCTTTATCGGGTTCATATTCAAGTTCAAGTGAACCAGCGACTTGGGCAACCCGGCCGGCACCTCGTACAGCGCGTTGCCCGACAGGTCCAAGAGCTCCAGCTTGTCCAGCACCGAGAGCGACCCGGGTTTTATCGTGTGCACCACATTGTCCGACAACAGCAGCTCCTTGATTTTCGGGTACATGACAAAGCTGCGGTTGTTCAGCTTGGCGATGCGGTTGGTCTGGAGTTTCAATATCTAAAAAAAAAAAAAACACGACGAGAACGTTATTCCAATTACACTGCGCACTGTTTACTTGTTCACATTATTATCCTATTGCATTCAAACGTAACTCAAAAAAATACACTTTTCATCTAAGTATACGTGCGGGAGATCGAAATTGGCGGAAGGCCGTGGGCTGTGCGACAGGAGTCTTATCGATTTACGAATTTACGACGTGCATTTGATAAATATAGGCGATTAAGAAAACAACGTGTTGCGGTATGTCGCTGGGTCGACATACATCGCCACGAATTTCACAACTATTTTTTTATTTTAAATATTAATGTATATATAACTTATCGATATGATAACATGTAATATTAAGTAATAATTAATCAGCACCAATTGATATAAATATTAATAACAAATTCGAAATACGATAAAATGTAATGTCCGGATCTTTATATGAGGCGCATAGAACCAGAATGGCCTAACCCATAAAAATCAAATTTTGTTTTATACTATAAAACATTTCACATTTGTATAATATTTGAAATCCACAATGACCTATTCCTTAAAAAAAATTTATTTACTAGATAACAGCACATAATTGTATTTGGCTTTATGATTATGATATATAATTTTACAACCAATATGGCCCAACTCTATGCTAGTAATATGCCTATGCCCAATAAAAAAAAAAAAAGAAAATGAAAAACAGTCAACATTTGAAATGCCCGTTCTGCACAATTACACTTTTGTGGGTTAGGCTGTTTTGGTTTTATGCGCCTCATATATTATAAGAAAACAAATAAGATAAATTACATTTTTAAAATACCGGCTGCAAAATGCTTTACGGGGAATCTAGCACAAATGTATATAGGTACTTACCATTTTATTTAGAAATAATGGACATTTATCGAGCATTATTTTTAGCTCGATTCGATAATAAACGAACAAATTTTTTTTTTGTGAAATATAAAACGTAAGTGTAGCAGATGCCCAATTCGTTCCAAAAATATTAATAAGAAACGCATGTATAGTTGAGTTTGAATTTTAAAAATTACTTTGGCAAAACAATATGAATGGATCTCTTTTGATAGCATTTATACGAGAAAGAAAATCGATAACTAGCATTAATTTTATTCAAATGGCTGTGGTACGTTAATTTATTGAATATCAATCAAATTTCAATAATCCAATTTAGATGTAAATTATTATGTCTATTAAAACAAACAATTATAGCTATAACTATTATAACAAACCTGAACTTCTGACATTATGTTGTCAGGTATTGTTTTAAGTTTTTGCCCGTTAGCACCATGGCAATTAGCCATGAGCAATTCATTTTTTTTAGAATATTTGCATCTAACTACAATATTGCTGATATTGCTGGCACCTTCAGTCTCAAAAAATAAAAACAATCCAACAAACACTGAAACATAGTACAATTGTATTATAGTTAAGTACCATGTAAATTAACATTAAACTATTTTTTTGCTGAGTAGCAGTGAAACGAATTATAACAAGAAAATTGAAACACTGTAGACCAAACGAGATAATTTTTTTTTTTTGTATGTTTTTAACAAAGTTCATAATTACTCACTAAAAATTTAAATTCTTGATTGTTATAGGTAGTGTCATTGTATATTGTTTATGTTTATTATTTATTATCAATCACGTCCAGTGTAGTTTAGAAAATATAAACTACAAGTAAAATGTATAATAGTTACTTACTTAAAATCATAATTGTTTTCATGATTTTTTTTTAAATTTTTCAATAAGCTTCGAATTAAAAAATGTTTTGAAATTATCAAAAATAATCGGCACCTCTGAAATAAAAAAATAAAGGGATTCATGTTATCCATTTATGCATACATTATATATCCTTAATGTTTTTAAGAGTGACTTATCAAAATTAATAATACATTTTTGATTTTTTTTTTTACATCATAATCCCGAATTATAATCAAGAAAACGTAGCGAAGGCCGCATGCCAACTCTGCCACAAGTACCTTTTTTTTACTGTTAACTCCAGTGGTTGAATTGGAAAAAAAAATAAAGGTGGACTCTAAATGTAGCTGAACAATTAGCGTTCCAAAGCAAATTAATCTAAAAAAAACCGCGGGGGACTTTGTCCCCCCACCACCTAAATGCATCTACAATATAAATAATTAAATATATCTAATGATTAACACAGATATCTATAACAAATAATAAACAATACTAATAGGTATTTATTTGTATTAATTCTATCAACACAGCAACACGTCTAGCAAATTTAAAATCTAAAATGTAAATATATAGCCACATGATAAAATTAATTAATCAATTAACTTTCAATTTAAAATAATTCATGTATTTTACTGTTGCCTACAAAAAGTAAATATTAAATTTATAGATTATAAATGTTACTCTTTAATTAGTATATTAATTTTTTTTTGTCAATATTAATTTTAATATTTGAAGTTTAATATTAGTCAAATAATTTATTTCATCCCGTCACATTATTTTTAGGACTAAGATTTGCTGAGAGTTAAATAATAATTATTTTTACCATAGTTATGTATATGTATTGCTTTAAAATGTATGACCAAAAAAATTTAAGGAACTTTTAACTGTATTTATTAACTTTTTTTTTAGGTAGGTACTAGGTACTTAAGTAAAAAGGGCTAATAACTTTTTTTGGAAAATCAAGTTTTTTTTATAAATTTTATCAAATTACAAAAAAATAAAAATTGCCGGGACTGACGTTCATTGATAATCAGATTGTACATCAGTTTTTCTAATAAATTTTATTTCTACTTTTTTTTTTTTTTAAGGCGGGATTTATGAGGGTGGATTATCAAAAAAAAATAAAAGTACACCGGTAACAGGAATCTGCGCACGTCTATGATTTATTATTAAATTAAAGTGTTTTAATTACCTTGGTTATTGTTTTTTTTTTTTATTGAAAAAGTCCGATATGGACAATTTTTGACGTTTATTCATGTTTATTTGTTTATTGCTGACGTGACATGTAGGACTGTAGGAGTGCGGTTGAGGTGTTTACTATTTTCAACAAAATTACAATTTATAAATTACATACGAGAGTACGCGACAAGCTAACATAATACTGATTACTCATTCGTGGCGCACCTCGTTTCCAAATAAAATATAAATAATATTTAATTTTCCTTGAAAACGATCACCATTTGTTAATCGTCGATAACTAAAACAACGGACGGATTCTCAAAATACGGAGTCAATATATTATTATTGTCAATGGTTTACTAAAGATCGTTATATCGGTACACCCAGGGAAGTTTTCGTAATAATTATATTTTTAGCAATTTAGCAGCTTATACCACGAATTAATACGCAGTGGAAACACTTGAAACGTGTTACATAAATTATATAACATTATTATTTATTTTATTATTGCGTTCCTAATATACATATGTGCTAATAATAATGAACAGATTACGAACTAATACCAAAAATTAAATAAAATATTAATCGTTTCCAATTTTTTTTTTCATATTTATTTAATTTTTCTTAGAAACAAATTCATATTCATATAATTGTTGAAGGACGCTGCGTCCCCTGCGTTCCTTGATGAATTAAATTAAGGGGTACGCTATAATATGAAGAAAAATGAAGAGTAGCTCAGACCCTCTGCGTCCCCCCCCCCAATTCAACCACTGGTTAACTCAGTCAATTAACAATACAATAGAGTAGGTATTAGTATACAATTATTATAGGTTTATTACTATTCAAAAAAATTAATTATTTTCATAATAATAATTATTAAGCGTTCACATCAATATTTATATTATAGTAAAAAAATTATAATAAATAATCGTTATAATAATTCTAAAGTATGTAATAATGTTATAATATGTAAACTATAATGATGTGACACAATTTGTAAATATGCTAAGCCTAATATTAATCCATTGCAGGTTCTATTTATAGCATTCTGTATCACAGTCATTTTTATTTTATTATAATTTTTCAGATTACTCGTGAAGTGCCATTAAGTTTGATATAAGTTTGGGTTTGAAATTCGATAAGAACTTTAATAAGAATATGAACATTAGAGTGACTTTTATAAAATTAATTTTTTAGATGACTATGATAGGACTCACAAGAATTTGTAGTTCGATTTAAATTCGTCAATTTCGACGTATTTCATCACAACGGATATTAAGGTATTTAATTTAACTGCCCGTTAATAAAATACAACTAGTGGAGTTTCCATATACCCATTACAGGTAAGGAAATAAAACTGACGGAGTTTACATTGGACTTTTTCATTTCCTTTTTATCTATAATAACTCGTATTCTAGCGGAGTTTACAATTGCCCCGTAACAAAATAGGCACCAAAATAGAAATCAGAAATAACAAAATAACGAAATAAAGACTTAATGGTACAAAAGAAAAAATAACATTTTATATAAATATTATAAATAAATAAAAAAGTACAAAAAAATTATGTACATAATCCATCACAATGCGAATAATTTACGTATAAGCTGTATAAGATATACATCGCGACACGTGATTTTATTGACTTTGTATAAACCTGGCGGTAAATTTTTAATTCGAAATCGATCGTACTTTAAAATATAATAATACTTCAGGCTAAGTAATTATTTATTTATTTATTTTTATATACAAATCGCACATGTATTGCCCATGTATGTTCATTCTTATGCTGTCCCTATACAAGCTTCCTGTGAATACGAATATGAGATCAAATAAATTTGTCATTTCAGCATAGCGTTACAAATATTTAATAATTTTAACATCTTAAAATCTAAATAGCCAACAAAAAAATTAAATTAACCCATCAAAACACAATAAAGAAAACTCAACATTTTTTATGCACATACTGTTGAAAGATTAATATTAATATTTTAATTTTTATATTTATTTAATAAAGCATAATATAAATAATAATAATAATAATAATATAATATAATATATTTATGTAACAATAATATTATGCTTGGATTAATGTAAAATGGAATTTAATAATTTTGACGTATTTCCAACATGAAACAGTAGGAAAACGGAGG